CGGAGGACAGGGCTGGGCCCTGGAGCGTGGTCTCCGCCGCCCGCGGGGGTTCAGCCAGCGCTGCGCTGCGGGCGCCCCACTTCGCGGTTCGGACGCGGGTGTTGGGTGCGGGGTGACCTCTCGACGTCCGGGGATGAAGGGCTGTTCCTTCTCGCGGGGCCTTCGGGTCGGCGCGCCGGACCGCCTGATGCTCCGCTTGGAGGCCGTCGCCGGGCGGCCCGAGCCGCGGGGCTTCTGCGCTCCCCGATTCGCCACACGAAACTCAATGTTAACTGCCTCGCTGCACCCTCTTGCCCCCAACAATACAGGACGCGCCACTCATGACTTGTACCTTCCAGGACCTGCCGTCGGCCGGCGTGGCTAGAACCGCGGAGGCTCCCCCGCGCCGCTGCTGATGCTGCACGCGTGGGAGCGCCCGTGCGAAGCCGGAGACGCAGGGCGGGCCCCGGGCTGTGCAAGCCCGTCGGTGGCCCAGACACGAGTCGTGCATGTCCGGAGAGAGCGACGTGCAATGGGCTCTCTAATCTAGTTGATGCTGCTTGTATGTGATCATGTACGTTTCTTCTACATGAGTTTCAACTTTCAGTTGAACTCAAAACAGGTACCTAAATCAGGTGCAAATACGTGCTAGAAAACTCCAATTGGAGTAATTAATGGTAACGAGTGTGTTTATTGTAGGATTTTCTGAGGGACTCCTCACTTGTATATTAGCAGCATAAAAGTCTACTATAATCCAGTGTATTTACCTCATTTGTTTTGAGAAAACAGCCCTTTGTTTATTTAATAATAGATGTTGTACAAAGGCATCTATTGACAAGAAAAGGTATTTATGATATATTCTTTTTTATAATATTTTTATTGATTTCGGAGGGGAAGAGAGAGAGAGAGAAACATCAATGCTGAGAGGGAATCATTAATCAGCTGCCTCCTGCACGCCTTCTACTGGCGATGGAACTTGTAACTGGGCATGTACCCTGACCAGGAATTGAACTGGCGACCCTTTGGTGCATGAGATGGTGCTCAACCAACTGAACCACACTGGCCAGGGCTCAGGGACCTTGTCTTATCAGCTGTTCTTTCTCTCTCCCTTCGTGATGTTTCCATCAGCCTCAGTCCCATCTCTTAAAAACACCCTAAAATCGAAACTCTCCTTTAATTCTTCGTTCCTTTCCCTTCCCTGCCAAGCTCCTTGAACCAATAATTGACTCTCAGGGCCTCTGCCTTCTTGCTGCCTTTTCAGTATTCCATGCATCAGGTGTTGACACTCCTGGCAGGCTTTTTCTAGTGTCAACAGTGACTCCTAGTTACGCCTAATGAGCACTGAAAAGTCATTCGTTTGACCCAGCATTTGATCATTTCATCTCTTGGACTCAAAGGCACCATTTTATCTTCATTTTTCTCCAAAACTCTAATAGCAACCTCTGCTCTGGGGGCTCCTCCTTTCATGCCGGCCCCTCTCCCAGGGTATAGTCTCCCGGGGGTTACATATGTGTATCATATGCTGAAGCCTTCCTGGCTTCTGTCTCTGGTCCTCAACTCTCCTGGTCCCCCCAGCTACATGTGTGACACTAGCCAGGTGTTTCCTCAGATCAGCACTGCAATTGCAGTGTGTCTGTGACCCAGAATTACTGTCGGATTCCTGGTAATGCCTCTGGTTCTATCCTCTTTTCCATCCTCCCATGACCTCTGCCTCCGTTCATGCCTTCACTGCCTCTTGCCTGGACCACTATGTTCTCTCTTAACTGGTTTCTCTGCTTCCAGTTCCTCCCAGAATAAATTTATCCACCAAAATAGATTTTCTAAATCCGATTGGATCATGTCACTATTCGTGCTTAAAAGCTCTGGCTCGCCATAACCGGTTTGGCTCAGTGGATAGAGCGTCGGCCTTCAGACTAAAAGGTCCCAGGTGCGATTCCGGTCAAGGGCATGCACCTTGGTTGCGGGCACATCCCCAGTGGGAGGTGTGCAGGAGGCAGCTGATCGATATTTCTAACTATCTCTCTCCCTTCCTCTCTGTAATAAATCAATAAAATATATATATATATTTTAAAGAGTTCTGGCTCAGTGGCATTGGCCCGGGCCCTAATGGGTCCCAGGTTTGATTCCCAGTCAAGGGCACCTATCTGGGTTGTGGGTTTGCTCTCTGCCCTGGTTGTGGGGGTGGAGGGGACACACATGCGGGAGGCAACCCATTGATGTCTCTCTCACATCGAGGTTTTCCTCTCCCGCCCTCCCTCCTACTTTCTCTGAAAAGCAACGAGGGAAAATATCCTCAGGTGAGGATCAGCAACAACAAACTCTCACATGGTTTCCCATCATTTTCTAGAAAATGCCTATAATACAGAGCAGACAGGCTTTTGTCCCCCAACCCCCTTGCCGTCCACTGCCCTCCAGGACTTGTGGACCAGCCAGGCCAGTCACTTGCTGACCGCAGTCCTGATCCTGTCACTCATCCTTCCACCCCAGCACGCATGGTCATCTCACCCACTCCAGGCTTCCCCCAGCCTGGGGTGCCTCCGCAGGGGGACTTCTCAGGTACCTTGACATTGAGGTACCTGCTACAGAATAGTATAACCACTACTATTCACAGCTTTTTTTTAATTTAAAAGTGTCACACATACAGAAATGAGAGTACTATGATGAATACCTGAATACTGTGCGCCTAGAGTCAATAAGGCATATTAGCATAACCCTTAACTTCTCTCTCACACACCTTTTATTCTCTTCATTAACAATTCCTTTAAGTTCTTTCAGAATATACCCAGTATCCAAATACTCCTCGCCACCTCCTCTGCTATGGCCCCTGATCCAAGCCAGGTCGACGATGAGCCTCCTCAAGGCTGCCGGCTCTCTCCTGGCTCCCTGCAGTCTATTCTCACCCGGACACCAGCATGGCTCCCTCTCCTGCAGAGGAGAGCCGATGTCCTCCGTGACAGTCAGCTTGGCTACCACCGCCTCCTGCCCCCCTCACTGCCCTGGCCGCCAAGGCCTCCCCGTGGTTTCTGACAGAACAGGCACCGACCATCCAGGGCTTCTGCATGTCATCCTCTGCATGGAAGGCCCCTCACCTCCACTCCCGCACCTCCCAGGGAAACCCTCCCTCCCTCACCTCATCAAAACTGTGAACTCCGCCTCCCCGCCCCTCCAGCCTCTTTCCAGGTTTATTTCTCTCCAGAGCACGGCCGTTATCACCACTTGATACACTGTGTATCTTTCACTTCTTTATCTGTGTTACGGTCTCTGAGCTCCGCAAGCACAGGGACTCCCCGTGGAGCTTCTCGCCCTGGGACGGTCGACTGGCACAACGCAGGGCGGAACCGATTTCTACGGAGAGGGAGCCTGGGAGCCGGGAGAGAAAAGTCCGCCCACACACCGCCACCGCCACGCCCACGTGGGCGGGGCCTCTTCCGGAAGCGGCCCCGCGGCGGAAGCCAGGCCGGCGGCCTA